TCACCAATAAACATAGATAATTGTCTTTTCTCTAATCAAACAAGTCAATTTAGCCATTTCAGCAAGTTCTGCCATCTTCACCAACCATTCCTCCATTGTGGGTAATGCCAAATCTTTCCATCTGGCTTATTTCCCAAAGATGGGCAAGTGGGAAATACTATAAACATACTGCTTATGGAAGGTTCAAAGGCTATTTAATGGAAATAAGGATTCCTAGTATCTTGATCCTAAACATATGAGCAGACAACATGTGCACCTTTAAAAAAAAAAAAAACTTTGACCAACTCTTATGTTTAAATGCAGATTTTCTAATTTATAGGCTCAGGACTCTTCCTTCTAATGTGGATTGATGAGGGGGGAATGCTAACCAAGATTTCTCAGTGAGGGCTGAATGACCCTTTTTTAGCCATTTCATGGCTAAAAATGGCCATTTTAAGTTTAAATTTAAAATAAATTTTAAATGTTGCAATGATCAGATGAAAAAGTGTTTGCAATCTTGAACACATTGTGCCGTCTCATTTTTAATGCAGCTTTATTATTTTGGTAAGAAAAAAATTAGTCACCTCTGGAAATATCAATGAGTATTTCAGATCAGCTTCCGGTAAAAAATGTATTTTTTGTTAGGCTTCAAGGAATCACTAGATGGCACACTGTCTTCTCTATCTGTTCCCCAGTGCAAAACATCTAATGATCCCAAGGAGAGTCTGTGGCACTCACTAGCCAGCTGAATCTAACAAACATCAAAATGGGATCTTCAAAGAGGTTTAGGATTTTTATTTCTAACAAGAAGGAAGTGATGAATTCAGGAGATGCATTAAAAGCGCTGTGAATATATTTAAATGCTGCCAGTCATCTTACTTGGAGGAACTGCACTGGAAAATGTTTTGGAATGCTGGTGTTGAAGTGGATGAATAAAAACGCTGGAGTTTCATATGGGCAGGATTTCTTCCTAAACTTTCATGTTTATATGAAGTCCAGTAGAATATGACCAGGCCGTATGGACCAGCAGGGGGCCCTCTTGAAAGAGAATTTGCTCCTTTCAGAGTTACAAAAAGGACACAACATTTTAAAAGTGTTTAAATAAACAAGCAAAGCCTTACTCTGAACAAACGTTTTGAAAGTCCCTGCTATTCTCTATCCTCGATCGCAGCAAATATCCGTGACGCTAGCTTGTTGGAAACCAAAGTCTGAAATCATTTTGGAGCTTCTGAAATTTACAGTAACTGTGTTTGTTTCCAAAGGAGGAAATGACGAAGAAGCTGCCATTTTGATTATTATCTTTCAAACAGAGCCCATTGTTAACCAGTGCATATGGTTATGCTTTATGAAGGACGGTACTTGTTTCTATAATATCTTCTGTTCTGATGGAACATTTCATTTGGGTTGCACTGAAGTTTTTATAGATCATTCTGGACATTCCTTTGTTTTGTCACATTGTCCTAACTCCAGGTGGGCAACCCATGGCCCCAGTGCTGCATTTCCCCATGATTTGATTTAATTTTACATAACCCTTGGCCTATGTCCCCTGAAAGAGATCAGTGGAGACCCTTGGTAATAGCTATACATGGTAGCTGATGCTTGGGGGAGAGTCTCCTCATCAGAGAATGAGCGTTCTGTCAATTTTGGTTATTGCTTCCATCCACTCCTTGTTTCAGCCCTGCCTACCATGAACCCAGAAGAAACTTGGTTCTGGATAGGAAAAAAAAATGTTGCTCACTCTTGCTGTATAGTCAGAAAAAAATTAGCGTTGGTTGCTTTCGGTAGAGACATTTATTTATTTACGGATATGATTATCTGTAGACCACCCATTTTCCAAAGGTTTCCGGTTGAGGCCTTTTTAAAAAACAAACTGGGAATAAATGTTGCGTGCGTCCAGTGGTTTGACAAAACACGTTTTCTGATAAAGTAAGAACATTTCCTTTACAAGCAACAGGAAGTGTACGTTGGAGTTAAGGCCTGGAAATGGAGGGGAACAATCCATATTTGCTTGCAGAGATGCGCATGAAGACCTTCTGAGTGTGGCCCTCAAAGACCTCAAAAAATTGTTACCAAGCTGTAAGCTTCCTTAAGACAGAGGAGGGAAATCACCAAATGCTTGACTGGAATGTCATACTATTAATATTTAATTCAATTCATTTGGAAATGAAGTCAAATGCAGTTTTGCCCCTGCCCTCCTAATAATTTTTGGAGTAGGATACAGGGGTGGGGGAGTCTGCAGGTGAAGGCAAAAAAAAAGAAAAGAAAAAAAAGTCAAGATGCTACTTGCAACGGTGCAAACAAAGCCCCATTCCTTTTTTATCATTGCAGTTCCCATCTTGACTTTTTTGACACCCCACATTCCCAGACAACCCTGGATCCAGTCATGCTTGCTGTTGGAAATGTCTCTCTATCCCATTTCTGAAAGGAATATGAATTCCTTCCCAGTTGCTCACACCCTTGTGAGAAAATTCCATTGTTTGGTTTTTGGAACAAGTCAACCCATTTAGCAAATTCAACAGCTGAATACTGTCCATATCTGTGAAAAGAAGAAGTTGAGTTAATAATTAACTAGCTAACACTGAGGTGGGGCAGAAATGAATGGCCTCATGCAGGTGAAAGAGCAGAGAGGATTCCCATACACAAGGGACTGGCTTACTCCATTTGGAAGAAGTGAAGTTGGATAAATTGCCATCAAAATGGTCCTTCCCATAAGACAATTAGCTTAAGAGACTCAATTTACCTAGCTTTGGGCCATTGGTGGGTGGTGAATGTGGCACAGTGAAGAGCTTCAATGTTCTGACCTGTAAAACAGGGTTCCTCAACCTTGGCAACTTTAAGACGGGTGGACTTCAACTCCCAGAATTCCCCAGCCTCTTCAATTCTGGGAGGTGAAGTCCACCTGTCTTAAAGTTGCCAAGGTTGAGGAACCCTGCTGTAAAAGGTAAAGATGGGCCCAGAGTCAAGCTTGACTCCAAGTCTGGAGAGGGAGCCATGGATGAAGGCATAAATCTCTTTCTAGCAAGGACTAATGTTATGTATTTGCTTATTTATTTATACATACATATGTCCATCCATCCATCCACCCATCCAATTTAGAGGCCACCTGGCTCCTGATGATTCTGGGTGGCTTCCAATTAAAAACAGAACAATATAAAACCAGAAAAGAAATCATGAGTGGCCTGAAGACAAGCATATAAACAAAAAACCCACTACTCTGCCCCAGTAACTTCCTGAAGGACATCAGGGTGGGAGCCAACTGGATCTCTGAGGGGATATTATTCCAGAGGGCAGGGCAGGGACAACCAGGAAGGTACACAGAGGTGTTCTGATTGCAGCAAGGAAGGAGTGGAGAAGGAACTTGATTTTTTTCCCCCCAATAGTGGTGACCAATGGATCCCTCTCTGATTTGGCAAAAATCAGTCTAGCAAGTTTCTAGCAAGAATCTAGAGTTTCTCTAGATAGTTTTCAAATAACCAGATTGCTCCTTTCTAACATGTTCCTTTGGGTGAAGGGGGAACTTATTCCCTGCATATGTTCAGAGAATAAATGAAAGAAAGGCATACAGTATCTGGATGTTTAGATGGATATGATCAACCTCTGATGTACTCCAAGATTTGCAGATTCCCCTGGGAACTCACAGAGGGAGGGGGCCAGGCACAAAGAAAATAGCACTTTCCCTGTAACCTGCCCCCATATTCTGAATAGCTTAGGAGGTAATTGCATGGGCTGGGAAAAAGGTTCCCAGGTTATTCATAGATAATAATAGAAATACTGTAAATATTTCAGTAGAAATAATGTATTGCTTCCAGGGTTCTGCTATTGATGGAGTTTATCTGATTTACAACTGCCTTTTATTTCACCCTTATTAGGGCAAAGAATAATTCTCATTTACCGCATCGGACTTCACGATCTTTTGGGGAAAAGGATCGCTATCTACATCCCATTGGAGGAAAAATCCTAGAAGCTGGACTGTACTGCACGTGCAGTACAAATGAATGACATCTCTAGTTATATTGCAGGATTTTAAATATGTCACTATGGAAGCAAAATGTTAGAAAAACAGTGTAGGAACCTAAACAAGCAAGGACATCGAGAAATCTACGTGTGTCGTCTTAACCCCTTCTTTAAGATGAGATCTTTTCCAGCTTGAAGTTGGAAAGAGGAAGCAGGGCATTGGTGTCCTTCCTGGTGGGCTCATCAGAATCTCCCACCATTTGGAGATTCACCAGGTTAAACTGGAACTTGAATTACCGAAATAAATTGCTGTGTTCACATGACATGCAGCGCTCAAAGAAATAATATTCTGCTTATACAATGACCTGGGGGCTAGGAGACCCCAAGGTCAGATACAGAACCTGAGACCAGAAAAATCCATTACAATAACAGTGCACCCATAGATAGGACCCTCCCTTTCCATGGAGAAATGACCTGCTCTCAGTCCATTAGCATGCTCAGATGTAAGATTGGAACTTGGAAACATATTTATAGCTGGAGGCTTAGAATTGGCTGAAATTGTTGGTGTTCTGCTGGAATCATGATCTTTCTGGTATCTATAATAAAACTAGCTTATGAAGAGCTGTGTCCTATTAGCTTTCAAGTTTGAGTAGTGGTCTGGGTGAAACTAAGATGATCCCTGGGTTTATAACAGGCTGGATCACAATCCCATTTTAGACTAGTCCCAAAGGTTGCGTGAACCTAGCCACTGTGATGGAAAGGCAACAATGGATGTTTTAAACAAGTCAGGTTCACACAATGTGTCCACTGAGCCAAGCAAACCTCATGACGGCTTAGTGTAGGGTGTGAACTATAGGAGAATGATCTGGATTCAGGGAACCCCCAAACATCACAACTCCTAAGTTCTACATCACAACCCCAGAATACTTCTACAAAGCAGCAACTATTGTTTTATTTGGAAGTAATATTCTAACCGTCAGAGGTGGCAAGGTCTAACAAGCCACATTTGTAGGCTTTCAGGAACTAATTTGTCATGATATTAGCTCATGCATAATTTTCCCAAACAAATCTATCATCAGTTCTATAAAAAGGGAAGAGAGAGGGCCTCAAATACATTACATCTGCTGGATCTCAGGCCCAGAGGTAAGTTGTGATGAATTTCTGGTCTCTAAGCATAGGTGGCAGACATCCACCCTCCTGTGCTATTTCTTTTCTTCGCTTATCTTCTATTTTCCACACCCAGATTTGTGCAATTTCAAAAGCTGCCAAATTGTTTTGTTGATGGATTTCTGAATTGTCAGAGATAGATTTCTAAGTTATGGGATGTCAGACCTGAACAAGTCAATGGCTAAATAAATGAGGGAAGACAGTATTAAATGTACTAAATTGATATGCATGCTTCTAGCCTAACAATAGAAAATATACTTTTTTTTTAAAAGATTCTGAGTGTTGAAGAGCAGAGTTCTATCACATCTTTGCATATCAGTTCTGAGAATATTTGCCATACAAATTAAGAATGGACAGAGAAATTACTTAAATAATTCGGATTTGTGGAAATTCCCTACCCTTCTTTATTGAAATGTCTGGGGCTTCAGCTGTCACAATGTGGATATTACTCTGAAACTCAGAAATTCACTTTGACATTTTACACTAACCAGAAATGATATAATGGCAGATCTACTCTTCTGCCCCTTTCCAACCATTCCTTATTCTCCCAGTCTCAGCAATTGTGAAATGATATGACACGTTTTAGAGGCCAGATTTAGTTTGAGGATTACTAGTTGTCATCCCTCTTACACATCTTTATTTTAAAACCAAACCAAAGTAAAACTGTTTAGTTTTGTAAGATGAATGCTTGATCTGAAATAAATGAAATGTCTCTTCACAGAATAGGAAGTATTCTATCTGCTCTTCCCCCAAGGAACCATGAAGGGAGATTTGCTCCTCTTCCTTATTTCTATTGTCCTCCCTCGTGTCCATGGTGAGTCCATTCAACCCTGAGTTTTGGGCTTGTTCTAGGTTTTGTGTGAGGTTTCTGGGCAGATGACTATAAATGGATTATAGTAATTGTAGCCACCAAGTACTGTTCCTTCGTTCCTTGCTGTAGAATCAACACCTCATAGGTAGGCAACCACCAGGAGGAGATGGCAAGAGGAAAGATTAGTGTGGAAGTTATCCACTTTTCAAGCTGCGCTCTACGTGGACACTTCCAAATTTGATGGGCCAAAGATCAACACCTGTTTGGGCCTATAGCAGAGCCATGTCCTCCTTGTTCCTCCAGTAACTCACATTTTCTCTCTCTCCTTAGGAATGGTAAACTTAACCTGTGTTTCATGTCCTCTTGGAAACACCAAATGCGGAGCTAATTGCACAGATTTGGGGATTGCATGTGCTACTTTAGAAGAAGTCAATACACTGGGTAAGAGTGCTGGATCTCATAGGATGGCATACTCAGTAGGACCCTGAGGCTAAGGAGAGTGGAGTTGCTCTTCTCCCAAAGCCAATGGAATGGCCCTGATGTTCTCTATTTGCTTTTTATCCTCCCCAGGCGGGAGCGTCAGTCCCAATGGATCATACCAAGGATGCATTGATCAACAGCATTGTAGACCTCTTGCCTTCACCTTGACCACAGCTCCTGGACGCCACGTCCAAAGCAATATGGCATGTTGCTCAACAGATATGTGCAATGAAGAGTTGAATCTAAGCGGTGGGTATTAACTGAGCTTGGGAACTGTTCCTTTTTTTTTTTTTACTAGAATTACTTTATTTAAAAAGGAAAACAATAATGTAAAAATCCTTTCTGTTGCATTAAGTAGTCATATTTAAAATTTACAGTGGCAAGGAAGGAAAAATATAGAGCTTCTCAAGATACATAAAGCAATTATAAAAATTAAAAATTAATCCTCTGAACAGACTGAAAGATGTTACTGGTCTGTTACAAGTCAATCACTGAATTTGCACAGGGAAAAAATATGTATCAGAAACAATAAAGATTTCAATGTCACATGCATGTCAAAGTCAATCAAAAGTCTGATTGCTCATTCTTGCCTAAATATTTACCTTTATCCTAGGGACAATGAATAGTTCCTGCAAGTGATTATTGCATGTTCCTTCCTGGACTTTTCCAGATTCTTGTTATTTCGGCCTTAAGTCAGAGGCATAGGAACTGTTCCTATGGGCAGGGAGACTTTAGGTTGGGTTCTCTGCTAAGAAAATTAAGGAACAGAGGGGCTATTATCTTTTAAGTCCATAATGCAACCCTTTTTTGTGCCCAGGTCCCAAGGAGGACAACTCTATAAAGTGTCTTGATCCAAAGACCTAATGCACATCTGTCAGAAATTTCTGCTGATGCACCAATGTCTAAACTGAGATTTAAAAAATAGGGAAAATTTAGAATGGGACTAACCAACCATCACTCAAAGGCAGCCTATTCAGAGTTGGGTGGATCTTTATAAAAATGTGCAGGTCAATGAAAAATTGGTTAAAGTACCATATGTGTAAGGGAAAAAAATATATTTTTGTAGGCAGTCCTTGACTTAGTGGTACAGGATCCTTATGCATCAGAGTATCTAGGGGTAGTAATGGTGGTGGGTGTCAAAAAATTCAAGATGATGCCATGATTGTACCATCAAAATCTTCCCTTTTTTACATGGGCTGCCAACATGACACAGATGAAAAAGTGTTGCGTGATCATGGCAACTGACCTGACTTTTTGACCCTCCCCCCCCAACAGATCCCCTGATATCCCTTCTCCCTTGGATGCTAATATGAAATCTATCTTGTTTTACAGTTCCCCCAGTTGGTACTTTGGAAAATGGGGTGTTTTGCCCCGCCTGTGAAAGCTACAACCAGAAACAGTGTGAGATCAAAAGTCACATTGCCTGCACTGGAACGGAGGAGAAATGCATTATTCTTGCAGGAGAATCTATCGGTATTTCTTCAACAATTTCCCCATTCATCCTCCCCCAATATATTGGCTAGAGTCACACCTTGATCCTTAAAGAGTTGGAATGTAAGACAGAGGCAATTTAGATGTGGTCTTCCTTAGTTTATTTATTTATTCATCATACTTATATGGCCGCCCATCTCCCTATCAAGTGACTCTGGGTGGCATGCAACAATATATACAATATTAATGTTATTAATATTAAAAAAGTTAAATTATAAAAGGCACAAAACTAAAACAGAATAAAAAAGAGATAGGCAAAGGGAAGGTGTTAATTACACTGGAGCCATCTTAATATTTCACCAGTCCCCTGGGGTCCCCAGGCCTGATGACACAACCAGGTCTTGAGGGACTTCTGGCAAGTTAAAAAGGGATGACGCCAGCCTCACTTCTGGGGGAAGGATGTTCCATAATGAGGGGGCCACAGCAGGAAAGTCCCACCACCTGGGACCCGTCAAACGAAACTCCCTAGGCAATGGGACCTGAGCGTGCCCATTGACATGTCTGCTGGATCTGGTGGGATGAGTCAATGTAATTGGGGAGAGATGGTCCTTCAAATAACCCGGTCCCATGCCATGTATGGCTTTAAAGGTCAAAATCAGCACCTTGAACTGGACCCGGAGACAAACTGGTAACCAATGCAGGTTGTGGAGTGGAGGTGTAGCGTGTGTTCTTCTGGAAACACACATAACTGCCTGCGCTACTGCATTCTGTACCAGTCGAAGCTTCTGGATACTCTTCAAGGGCAACCCCATGTATTTCATCAGTGTGAAAGAATGTAGATTTGCCCTTGGGAATGGGGAAGGAATAAGTTTCAGAAAAGATTACTCAATCTTGAGAAAGAGGAAAGTATGAGAAAGAAACTCAAAGTAACTCTGCCTTGATTTTGTTTTGTATAAGATGGGGTAAACTCTTATGGGCTTTCAAAATTAGCTTTTGAGGCAGACAAGGTCAAGAAACAGGCATCGCAGGAACCCTAGGAACGCTATTGATTGTTGTAGGTGAAATGATAGCATCTCCTTAGGAAGTTCAGTGTTGCTTGATTCGCACATGCAAGTCAATATTCAAGAGTTAAACTTGCACGTGTGAACCGGCCCCCGATCCCACAATTCCCCATGCAAGGTGATTCCCATGTTTGCAGATATGTAGCTCTGCTTATTTCTCTCTCTGCAGCTTCTGCGAATCAATCATTTGCCATTAAAGGCTGTGCAACTAAGAATGCCTGCAGCTTGCTACAGAATGACCTGGTGCCATTTGGAGGGAAGATATATAAGTTGACTGTTAACGCTACTTGCACGGACAGGGGAGTATTGAGTATGATTTCCTCCCCAGGCATCATTTTTTCTTCCCTTGCTGGAGTCCTCTTAGTCCAGAACCTCTCTTGAAGACATCTGGTTCCTCTCCTGGGCTTGATAAAAAGGCCACCATCTGGGTGGTCTCCAGAATTGCAAATAAAATTTTCAAATTCTTTTCTATCACAAAGACTAGTAATCTTTCAAACAAAGTGGAAGAAGGAATGAAGGCACTAATTTACAGTAATACTTTCTGGTCTCTATACATCTCCAGTCTCTCTCTCACCACATCTTCACTCCCTCTCTTTCATTCCCTCTCTCTTACACACACACATTTTCTAATTCTCTCCATCCTTTGCTGGTTTAGCAGAGCGTCATCTCGACTTTGGGAATTTTTTTATATCCTACACAACATTGTGAAAAATGTACAAGATTTCTGGCATGGTTCTCAAATCATTCTAATATGATTATTCTCCAGTCATGTAGTTAATCGTTTTCTCCTTCTATCACATTAAAATTCACAATTTGCTAACAACTTTTGGAGATCTCTGAGAGACTATCCATGGTTCCCAGGGGCCTAGTATCTTCTTGAGTTCCAGTGGAATCATAGAATGATTGGGTTGGGAGATCTCAGAAGGATCATCTATTCCAACCCTATGGAGAATATTCAAACAGAATTCTACAAAGTATCCTTTTTCTAAAGGGAGGAGAAAGAAAAATCTGAGAAAATGTTGTCTGAGTGCATGATTCATTGTCATTATTTTTCTGGTCTTCCTATCCAGGACTTCTAGTTCTGCTTGAGTCTAGTCCACTACTCCAGCTGTGTATCTAATGATTGGAATTCCAGTCTTAGATACACAGCTGGAATAGTGGACTGGACTCAAGCAGAACTAAAAGCCCTGGATAGGAAGACCAGAAAAATAATGGTAATGAATCATGCCCTTTATCCACGCAGCAATGTTGACAGACTCTACTTACTAAGGAGCATAGGGGGGCGTGGAATGTTACAAGTACACCACCGAGTTGAAGAAGAAAAAGGAGCATTGGAAGAATATCTGAAGGACAGTGAAGAAGATGCACTGAAACTAGTATACCACAAAGGCTTACTGAATACTGAAGAGACCAAACTGGTCTACAAGAAAGAGCAAATGAAGAATAGAAAAGAAACATCGCAAGGCAAAGCATTACATGGCCAGTACACACACACACACACACAAAACTAGCAGGCAAAGCAGATAACAACAAGACCTGGCAAGGGCTAAGAGCAGGAAAGTTGAAGAAAGAGACAGGGGGGCTAATTCTGCCTGCACAAGAAAAAACCCAAAGAACAAATGCATACGAAGCCAGAATGGAGAAGACAGCAACAGACAGCAAATGCCACCACTGCAAAGAAGCTGAAGAAACAGGGGACCGCCTAGTTAGCTGCTGCAAGAAGATTGCACAGACTGACTACAAACAACGGCATGACAAAGTAGCAATAATGGTGCATTGGAAGATCTGCAAGAAATACCATTTGCCTGCAAGCAAGAACTGGTGGAACCACAAGACAAACACAGTAACAGAAAATGAAGACGCTAAAGTGCTCTGGGTCTTTAGAATTCAGACAGACAAGCACCTGCCACACAACACCCCAGACTTAGCAACTGTTGATAAGAAAGACAAAAAAGTCTGGATAGTGGACATTGCAATACCTGGAGACAGCAGAATAGAGGAGAAGAAACTGGAGAAAATCACAATATACAAAGACCTACAAATAGAAGTAGAACAATTGTGGCAAAAGAAAGCAAAGATAGTCCCAAGAGTAATAGGCACCTTG